AGCACTTCTGCCACTGTTGCCTTATAAGAGCAAATGGATGCCACTGATACTTTCCATTTCAAAGTAAGTCGGGAAGTTGTTACCCTTCTTTCTAGTCTAGTTCAATCATCTTCCATAGTCCACAGAAAGTTTCCTGAAGAGTTGTTCTTAAATTGCATGAAAACAAAACCAAAAAAATGTTAACATTTTAGTCTCATTCTCCCATCCAAATCAGACTGCGGACAAAGGATTTGAGGAAGGGTGTGCCAAATACTGAGGACTGTTGGTATTCCAAGTTAATTAGAGCAGTTAGTGCCTAATTAAGTGCTAATTTATGCTCTGTACAATCTCATAGAGAGTAGAAATTTGGCTCAGGCTAGTTGGAAAACAAAATTTTAGCTATTACATATGAAAACATCTACTACTTTTGTGCATAGAAAATCTACTTTGTTTTATGTGAGTCAAGTGCTCTGTAAAACAAGGCTAACTCTTATCCTGGTTTGGCTGGCTTCCTCTTACACTTCCAAAAGTTTCACAACATTTGTTTTCCTGTATCCTCACAAGTCACAGAATACGCTGAAGATGAGCTGACTGGCAGCCAATTTTCCGTGTTTCCTTCAAAAGGCAAACTTAACTGTCTTCTGCAGTAGCAGAGTTGAGAATCCATTGATGCTCACAGTACCTTTATTCCCTGCTTCACAGAATAAATAGAATTTTTAGCTACAGCTGAATAGACAAGGAACTGGTGGCAACTATTTGAGCCAGGCTTTTGAAGGAGAGACCTTCCTAACTTCCTTGCATGCAACAGCAAACACAAACATTGTTCTTGTCCATGCAGGAAATGTATCTTAAATCCCAAACAGAAGTAATGGTAGATTTTGGAGACTTGACCTCCACAGAGACCTGTCAGTCATCTCTGACGCAGCATATGGGAACGTTCAAATTGCCACGCCTGATTTGCATTCTTGTTACATGCAAACAAAACCAAGTCCTTCTCATCTTCACTCTTTGCTGCCTCTATGCATTTGCCAGAAAGGATGTGGACAATCATTCCATTCTACAAGATGGGAGAAGAAGGGAAAGAAAGAACACATTAAAAATAAGGGATTTCCAGTAAAAGCTAGGCCATGTTTCTGAAACTTTTTACATACAACAGATCACCAGTACTGACTGGTTGTTCAAATTTGTTAAAGTACTGCTCTAAACATAATGACTGGGTTTAGCTTTTAGCCCAGGGCGTGGTGAGTATTCATAATTCCTTTCAAAGCTGACAGGACTGGTAGGTGCAGAACCCAATACGTCTCTTTTCCACCACTATTTGTTTCCTGTGGGTACAGGTTGCCATCAGCATCAACTACAGAACTGCAGACCACAGAATTCCAGAAGGACCAATGCTTCCCTTAGGAATCGAAACAAATTACAGTAGGAACTGTACCAGAGGATTGCAGCATTCCTACAACTACAGTAAGGGCTATTTTCCCAGGCTGCTCTAGAGCATGGCTTTTTTTCAGTCATGTAGAGGAGTCCCTGCACTGCTGATTGAAGTCCACTGAGTAATCCCAAATTCCTCTAATAGGAAGTTTGCTCATCTCTTACAATGCAGGACATTTAATGTTCCCCTACTCCCAAAGGGCTCTTATTTGGCTGGGTTCAGGATTCCCAGACCCTCCTCTGTCAAAAAGAAGTGGGCAAGATTTGTCCTGCTATTATTGTCACAACCACTGATTCTGATTGTATTCCTATAAAGCCAGTAAGACAAACAGTTAAAACAAGGACATATGAATTTAGGTAGGATTCCTGGAATTTGTATTTTTAAACCAAATTTATTCCACATAGACAGTGCAGAGGGGCAAGAGGCATCCTAAATTTCCTGGCTGTAAATGGTACACAAGTGAAACTTGCCCTTCAAATATCTCATCCTTTCCCCACACATGAATCCTACCAATCACCCAGTGATCCCACAGTCACCATCAGCTGCCTTCCCCTGACAGCAGTAGTCACTACTGACCTCCTGGACATCCCACTGCTGGTGGCTGTTGTCTGTCTCCTTTGTACAGTTTTGAGGGATAACCTTCCCGTGTCTGACATCTAAGCAAAACAGTGGAGCAGAACCAAGCCGGATTTCCTTCATGCTGTTATATTCAAAGTGCTGGAAAAGGGAGGGTTTGTTTGAACAACAATGGAAGGACAACCCAATTCATTTTTAAATGCTAATTCCAAAAATAATTTCCTGTACATGTTTGTTAAGATGCAACCCGAATATGAGTGATGGAGACCCAGCAGCCTTGACCCTGCAAAGCAATCCTCTCTGCTAGCTAATTCTGGTGTAATTATTTACCTAAGGTAAGGCTTTGTGGAATGTAATTATGGATAAAGTAAACCCATCATAGAATAAAATTTTCCAGTTTAATAAATATTTGAACAGGTGGGTGTTTCTGACAGTGCCTGCACACACTGCAGTTACAAATGTGCCTGTAGCTCACCCTGAGCTCGATGTAAGCAGCAGAAATTGCCTGGGACTTGGAGTAAATATCTGCCGTAAGTCTGTGTTGGTTTGGATTCTCTGGGTGCATGAACTTGCAAGTCTAATGCCAACTTGGGAGTCTACATGAATTTCCCTCCTGTCTTTGGCTGCAGCTTAGGCACTAAGCTAGGCACTAAGGGAGAAACTCATTCCCATTATTCTGGTATTGTTATATATATATATGTTTACTGCCAGACTTTCTGTTCTCCAGACACCACCAAACATACTAACAAGTAGGCACTTGATGGTGTCTGCTGGGGCAAAGCATGGGTATCTGGCCTCAGTGACACACGGAACATTGCCGTGTTTCAAATGACACTCAGCTCCAGAAGACTGGGAATCATTGCCTTAGCACATGCCTGGTTTTGAACACATCAGTATTTCCACTAATGCCAACCCAGCCTTTTTTATGTAACAGTTGGAGTTACTGTCTTCTGGATGGTTCTCTAGATCTGATACAGTGCCTATATGCTCAAAGTGTACAGTACCTGGGTTAGACTGTCACTGCAAGGGGAGAGTTCAATAGAGCCTTCTGTAGTGGCTCTTCCAGGTCTGTAATCTGCACAGAAGCCAACACCAGTATTGTAAAGCTGTAAGTAAAGGTTTATACTGAAATAAAGCACAATCAAATACAAACAAAATATCCTTCAGCTAACTTTTTTGTGATTGTATCCCTTTATGATACACAGTTTTGCTCACAATTCAGACTTCTTTTCTTTCAAACTAGATCTTGCATATTGATCTTGCAAACTGATCTGATATAAAAGGCCATCTGCATGAGGCAACACGATTCTTTTCCTTTACTAATGGCACCTAAGACAACTAAGGTTAGGATCCTCTGAGCTGTGACATCGAACTGGCTTAGGCAATCTGGGTTCAGCTCCTGGCTGGCTTTCAATGTTTATGTGACCAGCTGTTTGTCTCCTCTGTTCTCTTCTTTCTCCTCTTATCCTTCTTGAATTGCCTGTTTGGACAATAAATGTTTCAAAGCAGGAACAGTCTCTTACTTTATCCTCACTGGGTACGTGGAAGCGATACTGGGGTCTTTGAACAATGCAAACCCACTAATCATTCTTTATAGCGTATTTTCTCTTACCTTGCCAGAGAATCTTGGTGTGTCTTCAGCTTGGGAGAGCTCGGGGTACACATTTGATACAAACCACTGGAAATTTCTACATCCCAGTCTCTTCTGTAGCTGAAGGCGCTCACTGCAGTCTGGCTTCTCTGCCTTTATGGAGAAAGCATAGGGACAACAAGGTTAGTGGTATATTTGTGTTAGTGATGTTAGAAGTGAAAATGACTACATAGAAATTATTTCTACTATCTCTTCTATCCTGCATGTTATAGATACTGATATATATCTATCATTAGTATACAGAGGAGGAGGACCAGCAATAGCCTTCCTCCAACTTTGTGCTAGAACAGCATTTAGTGTGGCATTATGATGGCAGTGAATGCTTCAGAAGTAGCATACACTGTGAAAATAAATATTTCCTCTAAAAGTTATTATGATACTTCAAGATAACTCAGTCACTGTCATTTTTTAAATTAAAAAGTCAGGGCCGAGCTTGATACTTGTTAAACTGAAATCAGTGGAATTGCATGAGATTGTCATTGAGTATAGAATTTGCCTCATTGATTAAAATTCAATTTCTTGGCCTTTAACAGCCCGAATAACCCATTTATTGTCAGTCCTCCATGATGGGAGGATGTAAGTGATGAGAGAATTTAACCCAAAATATAGCCTATCACTTCCTTATCTGACAGTTACTAAATCTTGTAAGTGAATGTGTTTTGTGGCTATAAAGGCGTAAAACCTCTTCTATGATTTATCTGTTTTCTTGGATTATATACACACAATATCAACTCTCACCCTTCCTGGTAGCAACTCTGTTCTGAAGAAAGGCAAGTGCCTTCAACCCTTGGTGAAGACACAGGCATCTGCACTGCAAAGGGCTCACAGTCTGAATATTTGAGGGTATTTAGCACTGAAGATGGCTAATATTTCTGAAAAGCTCTAAGGAGGTAAGTGTCTAAACCTTCAGTATCGGAACTACACAAAACACTTATGTAAATCTCTCAGTGCCCAAATACTAAATATACCTCACCACCCTTGAGTCTCTCTGCTCTTTCTTGCCAGATGTAGACCTCCCCCTTCACATTTCTACTTTTTAAAAATGCAGGTTTGGATTCCAGGAAACTGGTCTGGATTCCTACGGCAGAAATTAAAATTGGTAACATAAGCAAAGATTTCCCTGTAAATAACTTGTCCTCAGACCAGCTATTTCTCTGCATCCATAAGAAAGAAGAAAGGGCTTTGTGACATGCCTGGAAAACACTGACAAATGAAGGGCCTTTGAGATCAAGGGAGAGGTATCAGTTTCTGAAGGCAGGGATCAGTCACACCATGTTTGCCAGCCCCTGTAAGCTGCACTGGCAAAGCTCAACAGTTGTAATACGTTAGAGAACCTCATAATTTAGTATCAGCCTTAGATTTCATAAACATACCAACAAGGTTCAGCAATTAGCACCACACAAACCTGTTCCCAAAAGGTTTTCTTGGGAAAGGGAAATAGAGAAGTAAAATGCTTCCCCTAAAATGTTTCTCATGACACTGCTTTGGCTGAAGAAGGTGATGGCAGTAAATCTCATTTTGTTGTACTAGTTACAGTCTGCATTTGATGCTGAGTGGTGTAAGTAATGTAAAGGATATGTAAACCAATATGAAAGGAAACTGCCTGTAAACTAAATAAATCAACCACCACACAAGAAAAGGAGAAAAAAAGACAGTGGCTGAAATAGAAGACAGCTGGGAAGAGCCTTATTCATCTGCATTAACACTCATGCCACGGGCATTCTGTGCAAGATGCGATTCAGGCCATAAACCAAGACGGCTTAAAAAGCAACCTAAATGGGGGTCACTAGTCGTTCTCTGCTGTGGGCTCTCGGAGATTTTTGTAGTGGCCAATAGGTGGCTCCGCTCACCCTCTCAGTGCACTAAATCACCGCAGGGCCCATGTGCAGCTGAGCGGCAGTAATGTCATCGCTTGCTTGTGCCTTTTGAATAACATCTCGCTACACTGACATACTGAAAATATTGGCTGTGAAAGAAAGCAACAAAGGGCCTTTTATGTTATGGTATGCTGAGCACAGACATCATAAAATTGATCATTTGAATGAGCATCATATTAAGACTATATACAGGCTAGAATGAACTCGCAGGCAAAAGGTCATGGTGCTTACAGCTAGTCAACTGCATCATTGGTGGCTGTAGTTTTTAGTACAGAAAATTGCTTCTGAATTTACAAGAAGGGCCTTCAGGAAATTATTAAATGATTTAAGGGCCTAACTGCTCATCTTAAAAGACTTGGCCTAGTGTCCTCCTTCCAATTACATGGCTGTAACCCTCGTGAGTCAATTAAGGAACGCCCGGCCAGTGGAGTTCACAGGAAGAGGGAGAAGCTTTTAAAAAATGTGAAAACAGAATAGGAAAAGCAATGTGATGGTCTCAGACTAGGATTATCATAGCAGGCTGACTCAGGCAGCCTGAGAGGCAGGTCCACTGGTGGAGTGTGAGGAGGTCAGGCGAGGTGACAGGAGAGAAGGCATGCTGACACACAGCTCTTTTCATCTCCCTACTGTAATGCAGCTCCTGCTGATCTGGCTTTCTTAGATGATGGCCAGCACTGCAATGCCTGAGGTGTGCAGGACTGAAATGCAGGAGCAAAACTGAATGGGAATCTTTGCACAGCACGTAGCTATGCTCTGCCTGAATGTTTCAGTGGATGTTTTTTGCCTTAGAAGCATGGCATTGCTAAATGAACAGGAAGATAACTGACATGTTTTCATCCAAAACTGCCTTGTAGAAGAGGATATCATTACAAGAAAAGGTACTGGAGCCAGAGAATTCCAGAGAGCTGCAGCAACTTTAACAACATTATTAACAACTTACCATTAACAACATTAACCACAGCTTCATGGCTCCCAAACAAATATGCACTGGTTTGTAATACATGGGATATGCAGTCCCTTGACTGACCCTTACTTGCAATGAATTATACAATGGCTTAAAACCAAGTGTGGTCATTCTGTAGTTGTTGGTGGGTGTGCAGATGATTCAAGTGTGGCTGCATGCCAGGGCTACACCACACACCTGGTTGTAAGCCTGTGTTGGTGTACAGGCTGCTGGGAATCCAAATCCCTGGAGGTCAGACTGCTGTCTGAATGATGCTTCTAACAAAAAAGTAACATGTAGATAGAGGCTGTGTTGAGATCATACCTTCTCAGTTACAGACAGTTGCTTCTGGGTGTCTGCCAGTTCAGGGGGGGGAAAAAAATCACCTTTTTTGTCATTAGACCACTCAGATGTGTTCCTTCCAGTAGGAGAGATACCACAGCTTGCCACATACCCATGAATATTACTGAATATCCTCATGAATCACATGAGGAAGACCTTCAGTTACGAAGAATTAATCTTCTAGGAGGGCTCTTTGAGCACACACTGCCACTAGCTTCCACTTCAGATGTACTGCAACCCTCCATGTCCTATCAGTGGAAAAATAAATCAGAACTTGTTGACCAAGCTGAAGAAGGAGTCATTCGGAGGAGTGAGCAAACAAATCCTAGGTACAAGTTTCTTTCCTTCCTGATCTGACAGCTCTTCCGCTGGAAGGTTTCACACAAACACTCTTCCCAGCACCATGCACGTTGATTGTTTGACTGCATACAGACACGCTCACCTCTATTCCATCCCCTTCACCTACCTCAACACACACTCCTTTCCTCAGAAACAAACCACTACAGATGTCTTTACCTTGCTGATTAAGAAAGCCACTGTGTCGTGCTTGTAGAAGTGCTCTTTAAAAGGGCCCAGCCAGGTCTCTGCTATTCGGATTTTGTTCCTCACGATGGCATCTTCATAGGAAAAAGCATGGGGAAAGTGATTTCGATAGACGTGCCCAACTCGGGAGCATGGAATAATTTCTACAGAGCCACCACAGAGCCAGGTCTGAAACACAGATGAAAGCACGAAAAGAATTTACCTTATGTAGGTTACCTGTATCTAAACAGGAGAAGCTCCTTTATTATAGACTGTGCCTCAGGAAATGCTAATCTGCACATGGCTGGAAACAGCAAAAGCGTTATTATGTACCTCTTCATACACCGTTTCCCACAAATACACAGAGAAGATACTGGGTGATCAGACATTTCATTTGACTGAGTATGGCTATTTATATGCTTTTTATGCTTTTCTGAGCACAAACAGTGCAGTGTAGTGAAGAGACTGGGGACATACCTTCTTTTGTCTGGGACGTTAAAGACTCTACACCCTTTGTGTCTGCAGTTTTCATTGCTTTTAAATATCAGTTACTCTTTGCATCCAGATAAAATCAATGCAAACAGTTTAGTATAAACGATTTGGTATTTAAACTACAGGTTGGCAAAGAAATAAATCTACTCTCCCTTTGGTGCATGTTAAATGCCAGAAAAGTCTAGGCAGCTTTCAGAAGGTGCTGAAACCAATCCTCAGGAAGATAGTGGTAGTCAGTGAAGCTTCCTTCTCCTGACATAGTGCTCCTAACTCACAGCAGTTGCATGTTCTTATATAGTCCTGACAGATCATGGAGCATGGGGATAGATTTCTGCAAGGAAAGTGTTAGTCCCATACCCCAAGGTGTACTTAACTGCTTTCATAACCTGCTGCTTGACTTTTCATTCAGGTTCCATAAAAGCCCAATACTTGCCACAGCTTAATGTTTTAATTAAGGTTCTTACCCTTATAGATAGCTCCAGATTTTCTGCTCCCCATGTGGTCATGTCAGAATCATAAGCTCCAATGTTTTGGAAGTAATGTCGATCCATGGCTACCACTGCACCAGCTACCACAGGACTCCTGCGTAGAAAAGTTTGGAAGTGAACGCTTTGAGTTTTGGATAGGGAATTATGTAAAGGGTGGAAATCCCACCGTTTCCATAGCGATAGTATTACATCACTTGAATCTTGAATTAATCGATTATCTAACCAAAAGAAAAAACAACTGGAACCTAGTTCTAGGATTTGCTTGGGGAAGGGAGCCAAGAGCTGAATTATCAAATAACGCTCAGAACAGTGGGAAATGTTACGTACATACAAAACAAGAGACAAACAGGTCATGGTTAAGACATCTCTTTTAACTCTGTATGACCCATCTTTTGCTTTAAAAAACTTGTCTGGTCAGGTTTTATGCTAGTCGTGTTGATGTGTGAAAAATATTTGTCATGTTGAAAGATTGACTGCAATCTAGCTAGAATGATTACTAAGGGCCAAACAAAGCCAGTGTAAACCAAAAGCCTATCCCTTCAAAAACATTAGCTGAGCACATGCAAGTAACCGTGTCTCTCTCCTGTTAGCTGGAAGATGAGCCAAATTGTACAGTTTTGCTGCTGAGCTGAGCAGAGACATATTGGCTGGTGGACTGTTACCTGATAGGGCTGATGGGAGACTGTCGTACCTTCTCTTCATGCTCTGGCACTGGTTCCCAATGAAAATTTAGTTTCCAATCAAAAACACCTCGATGCAGGCCCACTGAGTGATAGTACTGAAAAGTTTTCCAGTCTACGACATCTATGACGGGGGAGACGACATTGTTTCTGGAAAAGACAGTAGCCTTTATTTTCAAAGCCAAAGCACAAATTAAGTTCAATACTCTACTGTTTACTAAACAGTGGTTCTCCTCTCTGACACTGTCAAACACAAGCGCTCCTCTAAATGCTGAGTGCCCTTACTTTCCCAGCTGATAGAAGCTCAGGTGCTCAGTGCATGGGAATACTGAGGCTGCAGTGAGGAATTTAAAGATCAATAATTTATTGATAAGCTGTACTTGCGTTGTCATACAAAGCTATTCAGGATTTTGCTATGAGTTAGCCATCAGTATTCTTACAAAGCTATTTCACACAGGGGAGCCAGCCTCTGATGTTGTAGGCTTTGCATGGATGCAGACTTTGTAACAAAAGATAGTTTTGACCTCACTTTGCAATCCTGTAGATACTCAACACACTTCATGTGTTTGTCGGTTTAGGTCAATGAAGAGTGCACTTACCCTTATTTTGTTCTGCTGGTTGTTTATCACTGAGTTAATAAATCAGTTTCTGTTCCTATTTTGTCACAAGCTTAAAAAGCTCTTGCAAATGCACTGCCACACTGTGGAATCTACTTTTAAGAGCTAGAACAGAGCCACTGCACCGTAAGCAGCATTACTCCAATTCATGTTCTAGAGTAAGAGTATCCACCTGGAGTAGCTCTTGCCATATAAAATAACTTCCTGTTAAAACTAAGGAAGAGAAATTAAATGGTCGATTTTGGAGCAAAAAGTAGGAGGTTTTATCTTCTCTTTTAAAGGTTTATAAGTTGGTCAGAGATCACTTTTGAGAGAAGTACGCTTAAAACATAATGTTGTCAATAAAGAAAGGACATCTCAGGAGTCTCCAGTGCAGTTTGCCCTTTGTAATTTTCCGAGGCAGAGACCAGCCGGCTGAGAAAGATGGTAGCTCCAGGTCATGTTAATGTAATCTCGACATATCTGCTCTGCCTTTACAATCAGTAGAATAATGCTTTTCCAGTATCAGGGTGGGGGGAAACTCCAAACTTTGTTTTATCACAGTTACCATTTCCTGTAGAGAATTTTAAAATCCCAAGGAAAAACAGAGGCTACTGTTAGTCAGTGAATTGTATGAGATGAACTATGCAAAGGATAGCATTAAAATGACTCAGTTATTCCTTTGTTTCCTAATAAGAACAGACTATGATGAACTAAAGGCAGAAAGATTTAAAATAAAGATGTGATTATATTTCTCCATTCAGGTGTAAATCCAGCCTTTGTAATATGTAATAATAGGCACTCTCAGAAACAAGCACTGGGTTTATAAATAGATAAGACAATTTCATGGTCACCTGCAACATTTGTAGGCATGCACATTAAGGCAATTATTTGCTGTCATTCCCCTACAGGACTCAAGAAGAAATGGAAAGAAATGATTGTACAAATAATAAAGCTGATGTCGTCCCCTGATTCTCTTCATGATACCTGTGTGACATACTTTGTATTCAGGACAGGAACAACCACCTCAAACTGAAGGTGGCAGGAGCCTTCCTACTGCAAGCTGTATTTAACCTTTACTCGCTAACAGCATGAAAAGAAAACTAACTGCTTCTAGAAGTTACTTAAATGGCAGTGTCCTCATGTTTTTTTCTTTAATACGCTGGGAAAAATCCACATAACAAATTAAACGCTGGATTTTATGTGACTAACCTTCAAAAAATAAAAAAAAAAAAAGAAAGAAAAGTCACTGTAATTGCAAATTCTACAGCCTGCTGCATTCTCCAGTGTACGAGTACCTGACAACTGTGTGGTTAGCAGTGTAGCTGGCATTGTGTACTTCCCACCTCAGTTTGGTGCTACTTGCTGAAATGTGTTTTATATATTGCTACTTGTTTATCCATTCTTATTCAGACAGGATTGAGGAACTAATGACCCAGGGTAGTTTATTTTACCGTTTTGGAGTCAACAGGGAAATATCAGGAGGGCGTATTTGAGTGGAAGCCAGAGGAGGCAATGTAGACTAAACCATTCAAAAAACCTTGACCATGAAGACTAGGCCACATGTGCATACGTGAGAGAGTTCAGGCACAAACAATGTGGATACTCAGTTATGCTCAAACATATTCTGGTTCAGATGATTCTGACATTTCAGACCACCCTACATTTTCACAGAATTACAGCCATTTAAAACCTGTCCTTCTTTTTGGATCCACCTTAAATTTGTTGCCACTACAAAACTTGAAACTCCAGTGCTTCTAGTATCAGTGCAGTTGCTCATAGAAGTATGAACCACAGCAATAGTTCTTATTGAAACAGTAGTTTATTTGTAATGCATGCTTTTGCTTTGCTTGCTGTTGGGCATTGATTCTTCAATGCCATTCAAGATTGCAGTGAGGTAATGGATTCTGACGGCTTGGAGACCAAGCAATTATCCAAACTATCTGCAAATTATGACACAGAAAATTACAGTGTTTAAGACAGCTGAAAATAACTCACTGGATAGGTTACATTCTACCCTGCTGTGTAATGTTAGATATTCACCTAGTATAAACTGGTGTGGCTCTGCTGAAACCAAGAGAAACACACCTTCATAAAACTTTAAATGTTAGGAGTGTCTTTCTGACTTGAAATAGAGTAATCCGGTAACTTTATCTTGTGTGAAAACTGGTCAATGTCCAATTTTAATCTTATTCAAGCAGTGCATTATCTATCTTTTGATATTAATGTTTTTTTCTTTTTAATAAAATATCTGTTTTCTGCATATTCATTGATAGTCTGATGTTTGATTCTAAATGCAAATTTGCAGCAGAAGGCAATTGAAAGCTGGAAAATGTTCTTGGTTATTCTGTTTCGTTTTAACTGGGTAACTGGCAGACAGTCAGCAGCTTCTCGGCACTTTGAAATGAAACACACGCTGGCAAACTGCTGCTAATTTTACTCTGTGGAATCCAAAGAAAGGGAAAAACAGGAAATTCAAACACAACTATCAGCAAGGCTATGAACCATTTGACTCATTTGTGAATATTTCAAATGCTTGGAACACACACAAACTACAAAAGGTCACAATTCCATGAAAAACAGCAACCCAAACAAGAACAATTTTCTTCTTTGGGATTTCTCAACCAAATACAATTGCAAATGAAATGTCTTCCCATGACCCTTTACAGTCACCAAGAACATTATGTTCTTTTCTATTTTTAGAATAAGCAGCATGAGGAAAGGAAGATTTAATTAACACATCTGTTTTGAAGTTTTAGATACGCTGGTTTTTGGAAATGCTTTTTATTGATTTGTACTTTCTTTTGGTGGGAAGGGAATGGATTTTAATATTCCTCCTTTAAATAAGGAGGAACAACAACAAAAAAAACCCAAACCCGAACATGAAAGTTATGTATTTTCTTCAACCACTTTCAGAGTGGATTACTTAAATAGTGCCCCACAGGCCAGCTCCAGACTAACACAAGGCATATGAACAGTCTCTTTGAATTGATGGACCACTCATATGCTAAGCAATAAACATATATTTCATATCTCTGCTAGATAGACTGCTAAGGGAATGCTTTATTTTTAAAAAAAATAATATTTTGAACCTGTCTTTTTTGTTAAAATATTCAAATTTGTATGGAGGTACCAAAATCTGTAGGAGCAACCAACACCTTTTTGCACTGGACAGTCAGGATGCTGTGCCATAGATCATGCCTAAATCCTACTTTTGGCAGTAATATTTGCTTTTGGCTTTAAATTCTTGTCTTCAGTTCCTTTATTTCAACTTCTTTAAAATAGGTCACCTACTGATCCTGATCAACTGTGAAAGATTGTAAAGAGAGAGCATATCTTCACCTAACGTACCATGTAAATGCAGAACATTAATTTACTGAATTTGAAATGAGTGTTATTGGCAAATGGAGCATATAAAAGGATCAGGCAAAAGGAGGAGTCACAGGAAACAGGCTGTTAGATGTGAAGTATATGGAAGGTTTTCAAAACAAAAATAGCATGGAAGTGCATGCTCAGATGCTGGGGTTCTGTAGGCTCTGGATGAATAATATCATACTTCCCTAAACCTGAGAGAAGGTAAAAACCAGATGGCTCAGGTATTTGGTAGCTCAAAAAGCTGGGGTTTGGGTCACTGAGAGGCGGAGAATCAGATGAAAATAGATGAAGGACCTGTTCAACTTTAATGCAAACTATTTCCCTTCTCTCTCATGTATTACTATAAAACTAGAAGCACACAGAAATTTTCTGGACAGCAGAGGCTCCAACTCACTCCTGAATGGGAGCAAACATTGGGAGTGGATGGGAGTGGAATGAGAGCATCCAATGGGAGTCGATAACATACCTTTCCACTGCAATATTAATTTCTTACTCTGTTTAACAGCATTTTCATTAAAGGTTAGTTACCTAGAATCACAGTCCTGAGCTGATGCCTTCGTATTTTAGGAACTAGATAGGCTTCTTTGAATAGTATCACAGGCTGCTGTTTCCTAATGTATTATTTGAACTGTGGCATAGGCAGTGCACCAACACAGGGGGAAACAGCCCTTGCAATAACGAGCAAGGGGAGCAAGGAGAAAGGGGAAAGATCCTAAGGGCAAGACATCCCCTTGCAAGCCACCCCTCTGTCACAGTTATGGTGCCCATGCCTTCTTTAGAGGTGGAATTCCTTATCAAGAATATAATCAAGGGTCATCTTGCTTTCATGCAGTATTCTCAGGAACCACGCTTAGGATCTTTTTTTATGAAGTCATCCTGCTTCAGCATGATGGTCACTGTTTTTGGGTTAAAGGAAGACTCTTTTCAAGGCTTCATAGCACAGTTCATTATATGCCCCCTCTGCCTTTCACTGCCTTTGGACCAAATACAAAATAGCAGCTGTCTCCTGCAGTTCCTGGAAAAGCAACCCCCTTGAAAGATGACTGTAATAACGGCACAGCTGCATTACTATGCACCGTGCTACTCACCTGGAAATAGCCTGGAACACAAACAGTTGTCAAATGAAATGATCTATGGGGCATCTCATCAAGTTTTCTAATGTTGTCCAGGTATCTGCAGTATTCATCCTTGAGCAATCAAAATGTCACAGGACACTACACAAACCATTGAACCATTCTCTAGGCAATATACTAAGCTGATGCACAGCTTCCCAGTCAGTTTGTTAGGTATGCTTCACAGAACTGGTCCTAGTCAAGGTGCCCATACATGCATGAGTAACGATTTTAGAAAGACTTAATACTTTTCTGAAAATGATTTGGATTGGGTTAGTGAATAAAGCCATCACACAGGGAGGTGAAATGTCAAGTATCTGCCAAACATTTCCAGACCTGTAAAATTGGGGTAATTTTTCTCATGTTTGTCCTGTCTGTCGTTGCCACAGTCTACTAAGAACTGTGGGTACCTCTGGTTTGTATGTTCAGCTCACTGTGAGGTCTCAGTTTGAGTAAGGATCTCTCAGCATCGCTACAAGACAGGTCACAGTAATAGTTGTAGATCTGATCAGAAGTCTATAAAATTAGGCTTAATCACAATTTTCAAAGTTAAAATCTCCCTCCAGCTCGGTTAAGCTGCTGCAAATGTTCGAGCTTTGGAAAGGCTGCTTTTTTCCTTGTCAGCAAACAACTCACCCCCTCTGGGTGGTTAAGCGTTTTCCCAGCCTCTCTTCAGCAAAAGTGCGTGAGCAGGAGCTTGACTGGTACACTATGAAGAGGAAAGATGGGTATTTCTCCAGTCACTGTAAGCTTTTTTTCCACCGTACTTGCCTCATTTGGGTAGTCTCAGGGAGTGCACATGATCCAATTTAATACCTCCTCAACTGCTAAATGAGATCAGGTTGACTATGCTAATGCTTTACATTTCCATAGTGATCTCCATGCAAGCATTACAAGCAATTTAAGAAAAGTCACGAATTAACTTCCTTATCAGGTCAGTGTTATTATCACCATTCCTCAACTGGGGAAAGAGGGACAGCGAAGGAAAATGATTGGCAGATGCCTTAGAGCATGTCTTCCCTGTGCACTGGAGAATGGCACAGGTTCTCCACACTAGTAGTGGCTAAGCTTCCAGGCTCAGACACAGCGACTGATACAGCATACAGAAAGGGTTGGCTTAGTCCATACTATTAACCAAATGCTCTTCTGCCTGTGCTCGTTAAACCAATTAGCTATCAGTTAACTCAGTGTTAAATTCTGCCCTCCTGGAAGAAAGAATGAGCATATGGGCCCTATAGAGGGAGAGAATCCCTTTCTCATGAAATCTCAGAGCAATAATAGGCTTGGTGGCTTTACATTCCCTCAAAAGGGATAATTTTTGACAGTGAATCACCATACTTGTGGTGGGGTTCTAACTTTCTGTAACTCTCTTAATTTCAGTAATACAACCTTGAATAAGGACATTTGATACAGATAGGAGTTTTGCATGAACATCAACAATAGACTATAGCTCAAGGCAGAAGAATCACAAAGCATAGTCATAATAAACCATCTAATAAGTCAGCAAACAAAAAACCAACCTGCTTTTCCAGGGAGGACCTTTTACAAAAGAATATTCCTGACATCCTAGGGCAGCATTACTCTTGCTTTCAGTATCGTTACTGTTTTTATCTGAATTATAATTTCTAAAAACCTCATATTAATTCTTTTATAAGCAAACATAATCAGCCATAAAAGCAGCTTGTTCCAGCACCTGGGAAGAGCCTGTGAAGGTCTTTAGTATGACTATTTAACAGTCTGGTCCAAGTTCTAAAGGTTGAGATTTTTTGATTTTACTCTCTCTAGCAATTCATTTTTTCCCAAATGGCTTATAGGTAATGATAGAGATATTAATGTAAAATTTTTTCTCTCTCAGAAAAGTCCATTTAATAAAGGATTTAATGCTACGTAATTCTTGAAACATTTGCAGTGATTTAATCTCTTTGAAAGACTTGGGGGCTGCATAGATGAGCTCAGCTGTGCATTAGAGAGCAGGGTCAAGCACCAACCTAAACATGAAAGACTCAGAAAATATGAATCTCTATCTTCAGAGACAGTACAGGTGACATTGATATGTAGACAAACTGGCTCAGGAGGACAAAGCGTTTCATCCCTGGTTTCATCACTGAGACAGCTAAAAGTAAAAATAATGAAGTCTTAGAATAGTTTCTCTGGTGGCTGTTTGCCAATTTGCAAACAGGTTGAGACTGCAACCTTTTTAATCCAGACCACCAGGAAGCATTCTTATAGCTCTAAATGGATACAAACTCTGACAGTTTAGTGATGCTGGGTGTGAAGTGAGGGTTATCAGCTGTGCGACCTACCCAGCTTCCCACACATCAGGGTGATGCTTGTGGTCATAAGGTAGAAAACAAAAGCGATGTGACCAGAAGGAAGAAGGTAACCCCGAGAGGATTAAAAAAATACCCAAAGCTCCCCAATTACATCTCTTTCAGCAGAAACTGGCATGTGAAGGAGCTCCAAGGTCAGGAGGATATTTACCGGTTGCTGGACAGCCTGGCTAGGAGGGGTTCCAGCCAGCCCTTCTGACACTCGCAGTGTGAATCCATGAAGATGAGCACATCCCCGCTTGCCCGTGCAGCTCCTAGCATCCGACCTCGGATGACTCCAAGCCTCTTGTTGCTCCGGATAAGTTTCACTCCATCCAGCTTAGAAATGTATTCACTCAGAGCTGATTTCAGGGGCCCTGTCAGAAACAGAATGGTCACTGAAAGGTTTTAGCTTTGATTCAAGCTGTTACAGAAAAGCAAATTAGTAGGAGATGGTACTTCTTGCTGTTAAAATGCTTTGGGGCATTTGTTTTACATGGCCAAGTAGGCCAGGTTCCAAATATTCCCACAGCAGCAAAATGCCAAAGAGAAGTAGAGACTAATGGAAACTGAGATTCACTAGGTATGAAGCTATTCCTGTGGGAAACTTTACAGCCTCCTCTCCTGTTTTCAGCAAAAGGTGGATGTTCTCATCATCTCATAAAAGGCACAGATCAGAATGAGACACTACAGGTGTTTGGCTTTCCCAGGATCTTGGATTGCTTCAGCAATGTGGAGTTTTCCACCCTATGCTTCAGCCAAAGTCCAAGTCTGGAAATTATGGCAGCAGATCTGGTCCAGTGGGAAGACTAAAATTTGCATACTATGATTTTATTTTAAAGTAAAAACGTTCAGGGTGATTGGGAATGATGGGGGGGGGGTGAGAAACTTATTTACAAATGGAAAAGCTAATCTGAATTCTAGGGATGGAAGAGTGAAACCTGGCAGCCATCTCAGGGCTCTGCTTAGCTCTCTTCCTGGGGCTCTTCTCCTCTTTTCCTTCTACTCTCCTCATGCACTTCTTGGAGGAGGACAGTTTCTTCCCAGAAGCTTTGGAAAAAGAGCTCACACACAGAGAAATGGGCGATACCTTGCTGGCTGAGATCATCGACCAGGATGATATCCTTGAGGGAGGCCTTTGGGGCTGTGTCCATAATGCTGTGCACGGTTCTCAGCAGGGTAGACCAAGCTTCATCATGGAAACAGATGATGACACTGGCAGTAGGCAGACTGGACTCGTATTCTTGCTGTAGGCACCTGCATAGGATCAAATGAAGGAGACACTGGAAACACTGGTACAACTGGGTACTTTTTTCTCAGAGCAAAGTTGTAAGCTACACCTAAACCTTCAAGGATGGAAACTAGTTTAAAGATCTCAGGTAATTTCTAATGAAAAAAGCGAGTATTAAGGTGTCCAAGACTGGAATATAAAGTGAAAGTATGGGAATGATACTATAAAAATTAAAATACAAAAAAAAAACCGAGGAAAGTTTTGCTGTGTTCTGGGATGCTTTCTTCTGCTCACTTCTGCTTTCTGCTCACTTTCTTCTGCTGACAGCCTCAAAACACAGAGGTCAAAGAGTAATGGTCCAGAAGGCAAAGAAATAATGAAAAGACAATTAGACAAAGCAGAGAAGGAGATAAAGCAGGTCAGTTAGACTCCACCAATTTCCACATTTTCTCAAGTAACAGAGAAAATAGCAAACTGAAATGCAGTACCTTTAAGACTAACAAGTGAAATAATTCATCTGCACAACAGATCAGTATACCTGTGCACTGCCTGACCATGATCCTAGTGAAGGAAAGCAACATCTCAGTCCTGTACAGGAAAGAAATGGATCCTTACATGGGCAATGGAAACAAATACAGATACATTTAAGAAAGTAAATGTATTATAAAATTTGTACATGTTGCTTTTTCTGATGAAAATGAATCATTGATGAATGAGGCTCCAGCTGGGTGGATTCTTTCTGTGCCATTTTCTGCTACTTACAGCTTCAGGTACAGACACAGTCTACTGCAAGACACCTGGTTTCATGGGTCACTCCCTAAATGGTGTTCCTAGAGATGCTCCAGAGTGCCAGCGGGGGCCCAGGGCTCCTCATTTTTCTATGGGGCCAAGATTTCACCCATGACATTGAAACAACTTCCATCAAAGTTACTGTGAATTAGATGTTGCTTTGACAACTCAAGCATTTAAGACTGAAAACCACATCCTATTCACCCTCACAGTTTATGAAAACTATAAACCCTCATCAAACAGTGAGTGTTTCACAAATGCAAGAAAAGGATCTACAAATCGCATTCACAACAAAAAGTGTTTTCTGATGTACCAGCCTTGGTTCGGAGGCACCAGACACGCTACACTGGCATAAAGGTGCACATTTTCCAGAACAGGCCTTCGAATGCCCATTGTGGAGATGCAGAGAATGTGCCTCTGTGTCAGCTTTGCTCACATTAGAGAACACATTTTAAAATGTTTTCATTTCCTGAGTAGCAGTTACTCGGTTTCCTAACTCACTTAACCTCTAGCAGCAAGAGCTTCTTCGAGGAATTACAGAATTGGCTGAATGTGGCCCATTGCTATTTCAGCATTTTTGTACTGCCAAGCAAACCCTCACACAGCTTTTACAGTGGTTGTTAAACAATTAGCTACTCAGCAGAAGCTCATGCAAGGGATGTAATTTTAATATTTCTATGTTTGTTACCATTTTACTTAGTGCTTCTATTCATGGACTGAGGCTCTATGATGCTAGACGCTATCCAGGACACAAAGCTGCTTGTCATTTAAAGGAAACCATAGGTGAATGATTTAATTACAAATAAAAATAAATGAGTACTATAGATAAACCATAGGAATATCAATTTTAAATGAGCACAACTATAATAATTTAATATAGTTTATAATATTTCACATTGATATCTTTTTGCATAAAGAGAGATTTTCTTGATGATTTTTACATTGCAATGAATTCATGTTGTCCTTGGTTTACTGATTTTCTGTAATCAGCAAAGCTGTTATTTCGCAATTTCATATGGGGTAATTGTTTCTGTTTTGAGCAGGATGGAGAAAAAGATACTCTCATGACTTGGAAGTGTTTGTATTTTCAGGCAGAAGAATCCAGGGGAAATTAATAAAAGTGAAGATCTGATGCAGTCCTTTTACTACCAGGCAGCTTACAACCAGGACTATTCAGTACAGCTGTTAAGCACCTATATTTTCCACCATAATGCTACAGTGTCTTTTTGCTAGTACTGTGGTTATAGCAAGAAAATCAGGCTGTTGTGGAATCTTAATTGGAAAAGAATTGAAAATGACTGTACTTGAATACATAACCTAGGTTGTGAGTGTTTAGTTGCCATGGAGATTGGCAAAGACTTGCAATAGAGATATCTAATCTTCAGAAAAATGCAAAAGGGTGCTGGTATACAGAAATACATTCCCTGTAATTTGAAGCAGTTTCATAGGCTGTCCATCAAAAGTTGGCATTTCAAAAAGTCAAGGCTGTGACTGATAGGAGACAGTGATTTAATCCAGTTTGTGAAAAATAAGGAATTGTCACATGCCGCAACGAGCAGGAGAGCAATTCTGACACAGCAAAGGCACTGCCAACTGCAACTCCCACTCACCTCCAGGAAAATGTCTCGTTGAGATGCAGCTCCCAACAGCACTCAAGTGGAAGCTATGCTTTTGTAATGAAATTCAAAACCTTTTTAGGTACATTGTGAGTTTCTCTTTGCCTGGATACTTTTGACACTCAAGCCCCAAGTGTGGAAAACAGATCTTTGTTTCTCAGGCGGAACCCCCATCGCAGAAGTCACAATGGCAGGCCTGATTTGAGTCCACTGTTGCAGGAGGGCGTCAGCAGCAGCTGGACCAATTGATAGCAGCACAAAACACTGTGGGGGATGAAGGTACTTCTGATGATGACCCTCAGTGTGGAAGAACAACTTTCTAGTACAACTGGACAAGTTATTAAGCTTCTTCACACAGAAATCCTGTCTGTGTCAAAACTGGTAGTCAAAGTAAATGGGGAAAACCAAGGCCCCTGATTCATTTGTCAGGGGATGTTTTACTGTGGGATCAGTAGAAGTGCTGGAAGAGACTTTATTATGCATCTGCTGTCTGAGAAGTAGCATAAAACATTCACCTGGAAAGGCATGCAAAGAGAAGTGGGTTATGTTAGATGCTGGGGTCGGGTGAGAGAGGTCTAAGTAGCAATTTAGAGGGGAGGATATTTGTTCCCGGGCTGTCAATTTCAAGTGAAATGAGACTGATTCCATGGAGCTAACTCACTGAAATGCTTCTAACTGGTTGGGTTCTCTCCGACTAAATAATATCAGACATTATCAGGAACAGCATGATTCAATCAGAATAGAGTAATAATAGACAATCTGATTCATCACTGGTTTGCTCTCATTTTACACTGCTATAAAACTTTTGTGATGTAGTTGTGAGTTAGACACAACTTCCCCCCCCCCCCAAGTAAATTATCGCTAAAAAATATCACTGTGATTTGTGTGTTGTTCCATGAAGGGCAGCACTGGCTTAGAGGTGGACCTCTGCTGCAGGTTTATGATCTGGGTTTAGATCTGAACAACTGCAAAGCCTCAGATGTTCAGATCTGTGGTTTCAACCTGGGCTGCATATGCTATGGTGTTGATAGCTCTTTGGTCTGTGACTGGTCAGACAGGAAAACCCATCCAAGAGACCATGCCTTAAATCTCACCAAGATTAGAATTAACTAAACCTGTGTCTTGTTGGATGGCCTGTCAGCTGCCAAAATAAAACTGGTTTTTGGCTCACATCACAGGCATGGTCATCATTCCTCCTTTGAACATTACATAGTTCAAAGAGTTGCCAGTGAAGCATGGTGAAAAAGAACTGAAATTATTCAGCATTTCAATATTCAAAGGAATTACCCAAATTAGCACTGAACCTAATCAGCAAGCATGGAAAGCAGTTTCATTTGTCTTTCCTTAGGATTATCCCCTTAAATCAGAGACACCAGGTGCCTTTAAACATGTGAAAATGGCCACTAGAAAAATTATTCTATACATTCTGTGTCTTAACTTCTAAGTTTTCTGATGCATCTTTCCAGTGGAGGAAAGCTACAATAGCTTTTATTACAGGAGGCAAGCAAAAAAGATTGCCACTGACATCCCTTTGCTTCTCCATAGGCATACCTCAGCCCATCCTTAAGAGGTGTGATGAATGGCCCCTCCTGAGCAGTTGGAGTAACTGGGTCTCAAGTCTCTAGGTTTCAAATATAACACACAGGGTTCAAATGTAACATGTGGGGCTTCACACACAACACTTGTTTGTTGTGGCCTTACAGCCTGGCTGCTGCTAGCCACGGTGGTGTTGGCAGGTCTGGTCAGACACACCGATCTCCACCTTGCTTCCTCCCAGGAGTTTCCATTCAGTGTTTGTCAGGTCACTTGTTATACTACAAAAGCTGAAAGCTCCAACTCCCGGCTCATTATCAGCCCGTAAGCCCAGGGACCCCATAGCCCTGGCAGGGGCCCACTATGAGGAGATCGCTTGACGCTTGAACCTTAGAACAAGCTGTAGCAGCGGGAAGCAGAGGAGTGGCTGCTTGCACTGTAGCATTGAGCACCTGGGCATAGCAGGGCTGGGGAGAGCACAGCTACTGAGCCTGTGAAGCCATTCCCAACGAGCTGCACCGTGGCATTGATGGCAGGAGTGAAGCGTTGAGTGCTCCAAGAACAAACACTTTGTAGTGCTCCATGTAATGCTTTGCCCGTGACACTGCAGGACCTAGATCATTGATCCTAAAATGACAGAAAGGACATGAACGGCAGTTTTTTCATCTCAGACATGAATGCTTGCTACAGCTGTGCTCCACAAGGATCAGCTAAGCAGGTTGCGGATGTGATTCTACCCCCCTACTCAGCCCTGGTGAGGCCACATCTGGAGTACTGTGTCCAGCTCTGTGTTCCTTGGAACAAGAAAGACAAGGAGCTACTGGAGAGGGTCCAGTGGAGGCCACAAGGATGATCAGGGGTCTGGAGCATCTCTATTACGAGGAGAGACTGTGGGAGCTGAGCCTGTTTAGTCTAAAGAAGAGACCAAGAGGGGCTCTCATTAATGCATATAAATATCTCAAAGGTGGGTGCCAGAAGGATGGTGCCAAACTCTTTTCAGTGGTGCTCAGTGACAGGACCAGGAG